AATGTTATTTATTACTAAAATGGCTACAGCACTCTGTGATGCAGAAATACTGCACTCTGTAGAACATGTGCCTGTTATATCATCCAGAACCAGATTCATTCCGTCAGAAATTTCATACCCTAATCTCTACCTGCTCTACACTCATTAGCTGACAAATTACAGTTGCCAACAACCAGGGCTGTACCACATTAAAACATGTTTTGTTGTTTTTTCAAATTGAAAAAAAGTCCTAAATGTGCAGAAGTGTGTTTTCTACAGGGAACACACTTCTGCACATATGGCATAATTACTTTTGCTGAATTTCACATATTGTGGGGGAAAAATAAAACACAAAATGTGGCCTGTGCAAAAATGGCACATTTTATATTTTACTTTATATTTTTATATTTTTGTAAAATAGATGTATATAAAGTATATATGCTCTAAAACTTTTTAAAAGTTTGTCAACTTATTTTCACTTAAATCCACAAAACCTGTGATCTGACCGGAGTTTTTTTTTCATATGACTGTTTCATATGACTGAAATGAGCCCAAAACGTTACTGGCTCGCTTGGAATTCTCCAGCCCTCACCATTAGCCCCTCTGGCATCTGTCTGGAGGACATTTGCAGAGTAGTGTAATGTAGACAATACAAACAATGCAGTCTTTTTTGGTGAGAGCTTCAAATTTCTTACATTTAAAAGTAGCCTAGGAACTCTTCCCAAAAAATGGGTCCATATTTGCATATGATTAAAAACAAATATATTTGATTCTGTCATCCTGAAATCTGTACAGTTGAATCACCACCTTCAGATCAGTGCATCATGTTGCATCATTTTATTTCTACACCCCTGCTGCTCCACCTGCCTCAGCAAAACAAACGCATCAGTTTCCTCACTGCAGATTTTTCTCTACAACAGCTGAACGAGAGAGAAAATACTCACTCACTGAACCCCTTGTGGCTTTTTTTTTGCTGACGTTCGAAAACTGCTTTCAGCAGCTTTGATTTATCCGGAAAGACCGTGCGGGCCTCCCACCGGCTGCCACCGTGCACTCACTTATTTTCTCTGCCCACCTTGGCCGAAGAGCCAGCTGAAAGCATATGGCCCCAGTGGGTCTGCCTGGGCGGAAAAGAGAAGGATAAGTGAGAGAGTTTCGGCAGATATGGACACAATCTCAGAAGCCTTCCTGTCCTCCCAGTGCCTCTCATTTGGTCCTCGCCTTCTGGACGCTGTTTGCTGTGGCAGAGTGACTTAGAAAGGTCATAAAAAATGCATCAAGGTTTTCCATGTGTGAGGAAGAAAACAAATTCTGCACCTTTTTTATGAGTGAACAAGCTACATGAAGTGTGCCCCTGAGCACACCAAATCTAGCTTTATGACACCCAGGGGGCCGATCTAGAACGTGTCTCGACTTGCCATGAGTGAATCCGGTGAGATTTGATAGTGCTCAGTTTGCAGTATGCGCTGGAGCAGTACTCGTTTACAGTCCTTTTATAGTAGGTAATCAATGCTGTTTTAGGGATTCTTGCATATTGACTTTCCTTTCATCCTGTCGTGCATCCAAAACAAATCTCGCAAAGCATCATGTTAGCAGTATTCATGAGTTAGCGCACAAGAGCTCATATGGATTTGTCTCTCGTTGCGCTTGCTGCGTGAGTGTGAGCTGACTGCAGTTCGTCTCAGCACTGGAATGCGCTCCACTCAAGAGCTCTAATCAGGCCTAAAATTTTAAATCATAATTCATGCCAAGAAATTCTCTGTTCATGCCCAACCTTAACTGCGCAGGGCATCGCATTTTGAGTCCAAACTCGACCAGAGCCCAAAAAAGTTTATGAAGTCTGAACAAGTCCAACAACATTCTGCCCAAAACTGACCAAATCTGGCCCAACATTATGCAAAATGACAAAGAAGAAAATGGTATTTTTAATGACAGCGCTGGTTAAATGAACATGTAGTGACAATAGTAGACATTATTAAATCATGGCTAAATAAAATAAAAAATATGTAAAATAATGATATAAAAAAATCATCTGTCCCCAACTGACCCCAATCAAAGTGAAAAAAGTTAACACATCCAAACACAAGGCCCACGGGCCAACTATGGCATGTGATACAATCACATTCGGCCCGCAAACTTATTTTTATTTTCTGTTAATAGTAGCCCATTTCACCATGAGATGCACTACAGTTCCCAACATTCACTGCTAATGAGATGTGTGCTCCCAACCCCTTCACCAACAACAATCTATGGGTAGGGTTAGGGTACCACATAATAAAAAAGATGTCAGGTGTCTAGTTCAAGGGAATGGGCAGTTTTCAAAACCTACTGTACATTGGGGACATTTAAAGAGGTTAACAGTGATATGTACAGTAATGTAGCCTATTGTTTTATATAAAACAATTTGTTTATTTAAAGTTAGTTTTGAATCATTCAAGTATTTTTGCTTCTGTAGTTTTGGCATATTTTGAACAAACAATGGCCAGTTGGGGTCATGGCAAAATGTTAAATTAAATTAAAGTAAAAAATTTTTCAATATGTCAAAGTTAGAAAATAAGCTGTAATCATGCATTAAAATGTGCAAACGTGTGTTCTTGTGACAAGCTTTCTTCAAATGCAGTACCCTCCACAAATATTGGCTCCCCTGGTAAACATGAGCCAGACAGGTTGTTATTTGAAGTCCAATGATTGAAAGAAAAAAACCTAAATCTTATAATGAAATAATTTTTTTTTCAAAACTATGTCAGCCACAATTGTTGGCCCCCCCTAGAAATTTTTAAGAGTAAAATCTACTTGAAATATATTCCCAGATGAGATTTTTGTTGATATTTTGAGTGACTGGCTCATTGTCAGGTTTGACCACCCCCTCCAGCACCACAGATCTCTGTAAAGGATGAGTAATTTTACACTCAGGAGATCAACAAGTAATTTGACTAGGGGTGCTCAGACCTTTGTTTATGACTGTATGTGCTCAAATGGTTTCATGGCCACAAATATAAGGGCAACAATGTCCGAACTATTGCATATGACTTTTATATATTGAACATATTAAATTAAAAAAGCTAAACAAATTAAACGTCCTTTTGGCTGCCCTTAACTGCACTTCCCTGAATCGATTCACGCACATGAATTTCCTAGCTTGGGCCTTGTGGAGCTCACACATGAGTCGGTGACTCTGGCGCATCAGATTGAAACCTGTTTGAATGTAATGAAAGCAGGGAGAAAAACGTAAGGAGAATAACTAAAACAAGGGAAAATTCAGGGTAAAATCTAAACTCTAAAACTGAAAAGTGTGGAGGTGGGCATTATGTCTAAACCTGACGTAAGTAGTTGTGTCTCAGTGGGCTCAGACAGATATATCAAGCTCTGCTCCACACTAATGAGGATTGCACGTAAGAGCTCTAGAGCAGGGGTGGCCAGACCACAGGGACTGGAAATGTTCTCTGTTCTTCTCATGTTCTCACAGCCTTGTAGAGATGTGCTAACACTGTAGTAGCACTTACAGAGGTGTAAATGGCATCGTGTCTTATGGGAAGGCAGAGCTCCTACGTTTTCACTGAATGTGCTGAGAAACTGAGGGTGTTTTGGATGTAAGAGTGTGTGTGCAAGAGAGGTGCTTCAGGGACCATGTCAGTCAGGCTAAAAGCAACCCTCATGGGTGTTTTTCTCATACTTGGCCAAAGCTGCTGTTTTTTTTGGGTTTTTTTTGTGTGTGCGAGAGAGAGAGAGAGAGAGAGACAGACAGAGAGAGAGAGAGAGAGAGAGAGGGAGAGGGAGAGAGACGGAGAGAGAGGGAGAGGGAGAGGAAAGTGTGTAGGTTTTTTGTGGGTATGTCCATTAAAAAGGCAAGCAGGTCTCCTGATAGTTGCACGAAAGACTGACATGGTCTGACCTTTTTAGTTCTACATGAGTTTCCACAGAGCAGAGAGCATTCTTATCCCCTGCAGCATCCTTTAATGAACACATGCACCAGCCCAAACATACACAGCTGTAACCACCTCAGTGGTCAGGAAGGCTAAAATAAGAAATGGCAAAGAAGTGTGCAAAAGTAAGAGGAGGATCAGGAGATTCAATATAAGATAATTCACTTGTTTAAGGAAGAAGAAAGTCAACGGAAAATAATTGAAAAAAATGGAGTACAGAGAAAATGAGACTCCTAACAACTGTGCAAGACCTGGTAGAGACCAAAACTGACCCCTTCAGATAAACAGTACTTTTTTGAGAGCGACAAAATCAAGCTCCACTGTTGCTTCAGATCTGAAAGAATCCACAGGTGTTTCTGTCCATCCTTCCACTGTGGAAAATAAAAAAAATGACACAACCACTGTAGACTAGTATTGCATCTCAGTCATTTTAATCCACTTCTCTGCATGTAGACCACCTCCCATGCTTCTAATTGCTTTCCATTAAATGCTGTTTGTCTCTCTGTTTATCAGTCTGTTTGTGTTTTGTTTTGCATGGCTGTCTTTGTATTACAACAGCTGGATTTGCCCACTTTCCTTTTCCAACAGTGTCCCGCCAGTTGGCTGTGGCTTTGATACAGTGTTTACTGAAGCATCTAGAGGCCTAATTTGCTTCCACTCATATTCCTCTTCCTGCATCCTAAGGCTTTTTTAAGCTGGTAGCAGGTGCCATGACCAGGCATCTTCACCAATCAGTCAGCTCCAGCCACTCAGTCTAATGCGCAGTGACATAATGTGTGCTTTGCTCACTTTTGCTGGCAGTGAAGGGCAGCCATCCAAGACCCTCAACAAGCTGCTGATATGCTAAAGTGCTTATTGATCGTAATATAATTCTCATGATAGGCTACGACTTACTAATACGCCCTGGGCTGCAAGCTCGCCTGCATGCTCCCTTTATTGCTGTCGCTGGACTCTGTCCATTAGAGCCCAGATGCAATTTTTGGTATATTCAAAGATGCTGCTATCCCTCCACCAACATTAAGCAAATGCAAACTGGAAATAGAATATGCTCAGGCTGATAACTGCTTGTTGTCTGTGTGTATGTGTGTGTGTTTGTAGGAGCTGGAGGAGCGTCTGCGGCAGCAGCATCATATGGAACTTCAGTCTCTGAGGGAAGCACACAGGCAGAACATTGAGACACTGAAGCAGCAGTCAGAGCAGGAGCTGCAGACACTGCGCTTTGAGCTGGAGGATGAAGGCAAAGCCATGCTGGGTAAGGCCCGCGCACAGTGGAAGAAATAATCTGGTGTTTCAGATTTGAATAGTTAGTAATCTGGCTGCCTTAATATTGGATTTTATTAAACTTCAAATAATAAGTTAACAAAACAGTATTTGGTACAAACCAAATTATTGTTTTGTTAACTTGCAATTAGAAGTTCAAGTTCAGGAACTTTTTCAAGTGAACTCTTTTTACAGTGCAGTGACCATATTGAGTCCCATATTACTAACCAAAAGTTGTTACCCGGCTAGCTGAAACCAAGACTAAACGATTTTTTTACTAGAATTATTATTATTATTATTATTAGTGTTTTGATGTAACAGAATACAAGTATTACAAACTAGGAATACAGAAATGAAGTGTCTGTATCCAGTCCATGTTCAATTTTGAAAAGGCAGTACTTGGAATGCCTTTTGTTATTTTAAGATCTAAAATCTAGTCTATATATGTAATATTTCCCATTTCAATGTTGTTCTAAGAAATATTATATTAATATAATAATAAGAATAATATATTGTAAGGTATTTATAGAGATGGTTTTATTTTTTGCTTATTTCAAGAACGAATGTAGGTGATGTTGCTTTTTTCAAGGAATAATACTTGAAATAAGCGAAATTATCTCCCAGTGAATAAGACACTTTAACTAAACATATATTACTTCTTAAAACAAGTTGAAAAACTAGAAATATGCTAAATAAACATCTTATATTCCTACAACAATCTCAAAATGAGAAATATTAGACTGGATATTAGGAGGCTTGTACCAACTCACAAAACAAAAAGAGAGTGCCTGGCTTTTATGAGGTTTCTCTGATGCGTTTATCATAAACTGTCACACTTGTTCATGAGACAGGTGGCAGTCCTGCTCAAGGATTTTTGATATAAAAAAAATTGTTGAGAATTGCAAAAATGTTTAGAAATCAAAATTTTGAAAATATTAATAGAAAGATTACTTGAAGAAAGTTGCTGACCAGTAACAGTGATAATGAATTGATTAAAACAGCCAATGTATTCTGTATATATTCAGAATATGTTACTTTTTTATGCATTGAATGTGTTATTTAATTTATGCATACAGAATGTGTTACTGAACACATTTAGGACAGTGTATTCAGTATTCAGACATTATTACTTTTACAAAGGATTCTACTCAACTCTGATTATTACACAACCACCTTTTTGACTTGTAAAACAGTTCTCAAAATTCACACAATTCATTTTTGACTTTGTAAACACAAAAGTGTTACAGAAACTTTCTGCTTCACCAGCGTTCCTAAGGCAATTGTACATTAGGAGTCTTGACCAAGGACTTTTATTGTGTTGCATGGTGTGGTTGACCAGGAGGGGATCACACACCAGTCTGCCACATGGTAGGCAGCAATGTTACCTACTACGCTACACCAACCGAGACTCATAATGCACAGTGATGGATTGTGGGATTCCATTTCCATATATGCAAATAGGGATCCATTTGGGTCACAGCAAATGCCCCCCAGCAGACATAAAATACTCATAATGTAGTCTGTCGTTTGGTTTGAAGACATCCAGTGACCCACATAATGCTATAATGGCAACATTTTGCATCTTGAGTGATGAACAAACATGTATCATTTACCTGAATCATAAATGTCGTTTCCAATAATATTTTTCTGTATTAGTGCTCTTGATGTCCAGGGTATTGAATAATGTTCAGTCATTTCAAATGCAGCACTGGACTTTGTCCCTGTCCTAGCTTTGTCCATAATTTGAGGGCAGTGAGAAGCTATCTTACAGGTATTGTAAACAACAGTTAGTTAGGGAAAAGACTCAAATAAAACAGTTATTTTCTTTTTGCCCAAATAAAGGGCGGAATATTTTTCTTTATAATAAAGATTCAGTACACTGCAGATGCAGTTTGCCTTTATTTGAAGAATTACAATAAGAATTTATATACTAATTTAAAGAAATTAAAGATTTATTGCCTGAATAAGGAATTGTACAAATAAACCACCAAGGTGAGAGTGAGATGTAGTGACCCAGAATAACACAAGAGAATTTCTGTTAGAACCTGAGAGCTGAAGGTGCAGCATAACCCTATTTGCCTAGCACCCGGGTTTTACTAAACTTGTAAAAAATGTGAAAGTGTTTCGGCATGTTATTAGCTGAGCATACGTTCTGCGCACTACAATGAGATTACAGCACAAATTTTCTTGGAAATATAACTGTAAGTGTAAGGAACTGTACAGTGTAGCAATAATGAGACTGAGGTATGAAATTGCAGGTAGGAAAATAATTACTTCCTTTACCAGATTTTTGTGCTTAGAAAGTTTGTGATTGATGATTTTTAATACAGCTTGGAGATCCTGGAAACAATTTTTTCCTTCTCATTTACTCTCTCACTCTTTTCCCTCTCTCTTTCTCTCTCCCTTTCTCTCTCCAGCCTCTTTGCGCTCAGAGCTGAACCATCTTCATGCCTCAGCTATAGAGCACCTGCGGCAGAATCATCAGCAGGAGACTGCGGCTGCCAAGCAGGAGCTGGAGAACGCGCTGGAGCAGAGCAGGATACAGGTGAACAGCACTACACTCTTGGTCCCCTCCACTGCATGCCACAGTACTAAAGGTCTGCAGGGGTATGAATTTGAAGCAGGAGCCCATGACTTTGAGAGCCGACCTGATCAGTCCCGATTGGTACTGCTACATTTAAAACCTGAACCCACTCGCACACGGTAAAAATGGATTGTCACAGAAACGGCTATACAGAGTTTTGCGCTGGATTTAAATGACAAAATGTCATGCTGAGAGAAACATCTGTAATACACTGACAGTATTATTGTCAGTTTATTTTTGTGAATGGCCAATCATATCTGGCAGAAAACAGCATCCACCATCCTCTGATCAGCTGTAAGCCCCACTGTGTTAAAGTTCCTCTCACTACAACCTGTAGTAATGCACACTTTGTACAAGCTTAACAACAATGCATGACTTTCATGACAAAAAGGGCCAAAAAGACCCAAAGTTGAAAACGTTAAAGCTGAAACATCGAAAGTTTCTCTTTATTTGTCAAATATGGTGCAAGGTGCACAAGTGAACTAAAAAAGAACAAGGCAGCAAATGTTTCAGTTAGCAGGACTTCTGTTAGCGCTACACAAAGGCATAGTCAGAAGCAGGTAAACACAAAATGTATCTAGGCACAATCCACATAAAAACAAATTTACTGCGAAAAAAAATCACTCATTAGAAGACAAACCCAAGCCCAACTCAAGTGTGATGTTGTATTGAGCCCATTTGGACAAATTTGCTGTGGAGGAACTCCAGTGGCCTGAATTTAACCCCACTGAATGCCTTTGGCATGAATTAGAACATTGATTGTGAACCAGTCCTTCTCATCCAACATTAGTGCTTGACCTCACAAATGCTCTTTTGACTGAATGGGCCCCAGTTCCCACAGAGACACTCCAGAAGCCTTCCCAGAAGAGTGAAGGTTGTTACAGTCGCAAAGGGGTTGCCGACTCCAAATGAATGCCTGTGGTTTTGGAATGGGATGTCCAACAAGCTCGTTTAGGTGTGATGGTCATGTGTCCGCATACTTTTAGCTATATAGTGTAGCTTTGAGTTTTTTACATGAATCACTTAATTTAAATAACATGCCAAACGGTTTTATTCTGGATGTTGACCTCACTGACCTAAGGGTACCTCACCGGCAAAGCTCCAGTGACTTCAGCAAGCCAGATTAAGAATATAATAAAAGTAGTGAGGAAGAACTAAAGAAGGTGCAAATGCAGCCCAGAATTCATTAGAGATTAGAGACTAGCCATAAGAAGCCCAAACATGAAATTTCAACTGGACTGATTTTTGTGAAATTATGTCAGAAACTGACCAAACCTCAATGTGGTCAGTTAGAACATCAGTCAGCCTGCTTTGTTTTGTATGTAGTATTACCTTCAGTCTGGCTAAAGCATCAGCTCTCGTCCCTGCGGCTCTGTGCCCTGCTACTTAGAACTGCTGCTAGATAATCAGCTTTGTGCATCACTACTGCATATTGCATTCTGTTTGTTTACATGATGAAAAAAACAACTGTTCAGCTCAGACATTGTGCAAGATAAATGTGTACATTTTCAAGTGTTAAAATATTATTGCACTGCATTGTGCCTGTATTGTTTTCTGCTCTTTAATCAGACACAACTACTAGCAGCTTGAACACCCAGTCTGAATGGGGCTTAATATCAGTGAGAGTAATGCATCTCACAGCACGTTCAGCAAATAGATGAGCTGCTTTTCCACAAGAAAAGAAGTCTGTTAATCATGGTCCGCCGTCAACGGGCTGCAGAAAAAGAGACAAAAATTAAGTCCTCTGTTCTTCATCCAGCTCCTCAAATAGACCGCTACTATAAAACATGAGAACTATTTATCAGGACTGTTGGCTGGGTAACTGAAGTGTCAGTACAGTTGGGACCTAACAGAGTGAAAACATACGCACACATTCACACACAAACAGAAAAACTCCCAGAGCTGAGCTATAAAAGCACACATTTGTCTGCATTGTTCTGCAGTTCTGTAACAGCTCATTATCAGAGGCAGTGCCCACTGAAAAAAGAAACATATTGCTTCATCTTCTTCACGTGAACGAATATTAGACTGCCCTTTTTAATACATCTGCAAGGCTAATACAGGGTAGGATTGTGCAGTGTATTGTATGTTGGAGAGTGTGGGAGGGCAGAAGGCTGCAGTATTCAAATGAGCCACCTATTCGGTCACTGAGGGCACTTTTCCACTGCACTGCCAGAATCTTTGGCACCAGAAGACTGGAGCTGTGCTTTCTCCACTGGCCATCAGTCCAGGTCCCTGTTTTATGATATAGGTTCCTGTTCAATAAGCACATTTTTCCACTGCACAAAGTACTAGAACTTTTAGCACAAGAAACCTGGAACTAGTGCTTGTTCCACTGGTCATCGTTCCAGAACAGAAAGGTTTCTGTGTTATGGTTTTCGGTACCAATAGGACCTAATGGTGGTCTTTGGGAACACAACAATTTAGAAAATTCTTTAATCTCCCAGGTGAAGATAACTATTACATGACCAGTAACTGCACCTTATTGTAAACTACAATGGTATGTTGATGTGTCAGTTGCTAGTTTCACAATTATTACTTTGTAAAGAGCTCACTTTTACCTAAACTTGCAACACTGAATGACAAAAAAATAAGCTTTGCTAGATTCTTCATGTGATTCTGTGCAACTGTAGACATTCGTATAAGTGAGTAACAAAAAAAACAATTTTAAAATTGTTAATTGTGGTTATTAAGGTGGTCCCAGCTGTCTCAAGCAATAACTTTGCAAATCTGTCATCCGTCAAGTCTTCCAGTTGAGGATAAAGTCATTACAGGACCAATAAGTACACCAAAGTGTAAGCTAGAAGGTATTCTGATGTGTTGATTGCTGTTTTACGGAATTTGAGTTTGCTAAGTTCACATAAGCTAGTTAGGAAGTTAGCGCATCTATGTTAACCTCCCAGAATGGGTGTTTTTGCTCATTGTTTCGAAGAGAAAAGTTAAAGCTTTGCTTGATTCTAAGTATGATTCTGTGGAATTTCAGACTTTTGTGTGAGTGAGCACAAGACAGAAAAGACCATTTTAAAACCGTCAATTGAGCTTATTATAATAGTTCCAGCTGTATCCTAAGTAGGTGGACAATGATCTAGAACTAGAACCCTAAGTTCTGTTGGTTCCTGTTTGGATCAGTTCTTGTTTTTAAATGTGTAGTGGAAGCATGCCATAATGGTCCTTGAGGGTTTTTTCCTGTGACACTTGCAGCTGAAGCCAATTTTTTTACTCTTCTATTTGAAGATAAAGTCACCAGGCACTGTTGCATGATCGAGTACACTAAAATGTAAAGTAGAATGGTATGTTGATGCGTCAGTTGCTATTTTTAGAATAAAAAGATGGCTCAGAGATGGCTAAGTTAATTTAAGATAATTAGGAAGCTGTTGCTAACTCTATTAGCATTTATACTAGCCTGCTCAGTATGAATGTTTTTGGTCATGTTTTTGAGAAAAATAAAAGATTTGTGTGATTCCTCATGGGATTCTGAGACATTTGAGTTCATGTGTGAGCACAGAAATGCACACTATATTATTTAATGTCAGCACAACCAGTGTTAAGCTAACTAGCAAGCTAATGCTTAAGAAAAAGAATTAGGCTTTGCAGTAAATAAGTAAAGCTAGCTGTAACAAGCAAGGAAAGTTGCTGATTAGCCAATTTTGATGCTTTAGAGTGGCATATAATTACCAGAAAGACAATAAAATATTTATTATGACAGTTCCAGCTGTCTCTCACATTGGAAAATGAATTACTAGCACTGTAAGTTCCATTGGTTCCTGTTTGGGGCAGTTCTTATTTTTGAAAAGTTTCCTAAATGTTTTATCACACGCTGTAACCAAACCTAGATGATTATTACTGAAAGAAGTAATAATCCAAGGCAATTACAAAATAATCCAGGGCAGTCCTCCCACATCACATCCAGGATTCACTAATTAATTTGATTTTAATTTATTATAAATTTGCAATATGCAGCAATGTGATCACAGTATGCTGTTTCATCTATATTGTACAGCCCTTGTACAAGCATATGTGGGGGGTTAACTCTAGAGGAATGCCCATTGTGTTGTAATCAGATGTCCAGCAGCTCATATAGGTGTAATGGTCAGGTGTCCACATAGAAAGATACATAGACGTTGCAGAAAATGGCATCTTGTCAAGTGAAATGATCTTAAATTTAGTCAATATATCTAATATTTTTCCCATTTTGAGATGGTTGTGCACTTATTATAAGATTTTCTAGCTTATTTCTATGTTTTATACTTGTTTTAGGTCATTTTATTAAGTAAAATTATCTCACTATACTGGCAGATAATTTTGCTGTTTTAAGTACATTTCTTAAAACATGCAAAATTATCTGCCAATATAGTGAGATAATTTTATTTAATAAATTGACCTGAAAAAGGTAAATAGTGTCTAGTTATAAGGGAAATAATCTTAAATTAAGGTTACAGAAATCTCAACATGAGAAATATTAGATTTATTGAATATATTTATGATAACTTTACTTGATAAGATACCATTTATACAGTGCATAGATAGAAATCTTCCAGGCCTTGCAGTAAAGCTAATGAAAAGACAATCCATAGCTTGACCTGCGCTGTCCCAGCAAAAGCTGCAAACCCATTTAGAAAACTTGACAGCGCCCTGAGGCCAACTGCTTTGCACAAATCATTTTGTCCAGCACCACTTTCATGTGTTATTGGTTTCTCTATATGAAAATAGCCATTCGAAGCTTCAAAGCAGCTGATTTATCCTCGTCCCTATACTCTGCAGCTCACGTTTATCACCATAGCTTGGCAAGTGCTAAGTGATCCTGTTTGCCCTAAAATGCCTCCAGTCTCTGAATCCTTCTTTAATAAACACCAAGTCTGTTTGCTCAACCTCCAGGAGGTGTCTGCAAGCTTTATAGTCACACTGTTTTACTTTACTGCAGTCACTGTTGATTCAGTTTCACTGGCTCCTCTGATATTATC